CCGTAATGTATCATAGTTGTGTATTGGAGATCTTCGGGGTGCCTTATCCAATTGATATGATCCCTATGCCCATGGGGGATGTATGCATGATAGTGGGTATGAACTAGCTGAGCAGGTTTGGTGCCATGATCGATTGCGAGGGCCAACGAGTGGTAGTTTGAACCCCAAGTATGGGAGAACTGGTTATCTATGAAGAGGGCACCAGGGTTGGTTCAGGGTTTTGTTTAGCAACCAGGGCTCAGCAGTATATTCAACATGGTTGTACGGGTTATCTAGAGTATGTGGTTGATACTCAGGTTGGGAAGCAGACTTCAGTTTCAGAGGTACCTGTTGTCAGGGAGTTTGCTGATATTTTCCCCGGAGGAATTACCGGGTGTGCCTCTCGAGAGGCAGGTTGAGTTCAGGATTGATCTAGTGCCAAGTGTGGCTCCGATTGCCAAGGTGTCGCACTGCTTGGCACTTCCTGAGATGCAGGAGTTGTTCTATCAGCTTTAGGAGCTGTTAGGCAAACAGTTCATCAGACCGATCGGTTCTCCGTGGGGATCGCCGATACTGTTTGTCATGAAGAAGGATGGTTCACACCAGATGTGCATTGATTATTGGGAGTTGAACAAGTTAACGGTGAAGAACCGTTATCCCCTTCCACGGATTGATGACCATCAGTTATAGGGTGCATCTTGGTTCTCCAAGATAGATCTGAGGCCTGGGTATCATCAGGTGAGAGTGAGAGAGGAGGACATGGAGAAGACTGTGTTCCGGACTCGTTATGGGCATTACGAGTTCGTGGTGATGCCATTTGGGGTCACCAATGCGCATACTTTATTTATGGATTTGATGAATCGGGTATGCAGGCTGATGCTCGACCTATCTGTTATCGTGTTCATTGATGATATCTTGGTATATTCCAAGACTAGAGAGCAACATGAGGAGCACCTTCGAGAGCTTCTAGGAGTTTTGAGACGGGAACGACTTTCTGCCAAGTTTTCGAAGTGTGAGTTTTGGTTACGAGAGGTCCAGTTCCTGGGGTACCTCGTTAACCAGGATGGGATTTTGGTCGATCCGGCCAAGATCCAGGCGATGATGCAATGGGAGGTTCTGAAATCTCCCTCATAGATCAGTAGTTTCTTGGGTTTGGCAGGAACTATCGGAGATTTATTCAGAACATCTCCAAGATTGCGGTACCCCCTCACTCGTCTGATGGGGAAGGGAGTGGATTTCCGATGGGCCCCTGAGCAACAATCGACATTTGAGACTCTTCGACGGAGGTTATGTGAGGCCCCGGTATTGACCCTCCCGAAGGGAGTTGAGGATTTTGTAGTGTTATGTAATGCATCCATCACCGGTTTGGGGGCGGTCCTTATGCAGATTGGACGAGTGATCGCTTATGCTTCGCTGCAGCTGAAGCCGTATGAGACACGATATCCCACACATGATCTGGAGTTGGGGGCAGTGGTGTTTTCCATCAACATTTGGAGACATTATCTTTATGTACTGTTTACACGGATCACAAGAGTTTGAGATATCTTATGGATCAGCCAAACCTGAACATGAGGCAACACAAGTGGCTGGACGTGGTGAAGGACTATGACTGCGAGATCCTTTACCATCCGTGTAAAGAGAATGTGGTGGCGGATGCATTAAGCCGCAAGTCGTCTGGGTCTTCGGTTAGAGATGTGTGTATGAGGATATCCGTTGATTATCCGCTTTTGGGATTGATCAGAGAGGCACAGGAAGAGGGAGTTCAGAAGGAGAATTAGAAACAAGACATGATCAGGGGCGAGATCGACAGGTTTGTCACTGATAGTCGAGGGTTATTAAACCGGTGTGGTCGAGTTTGGGTTCCAGTTTTTGGTGGTATCAGGTAGATTGTGCTGGAGGAGGCTCATAAGTCTCGTTTTTTTATACACCCGGGAGCCACCAAGATGTACCGGGATTTGAGATTAAGTTACTGGTGGCCGTGTGTGAAGAGGGAGATAGCTTGCTATGTCGAGAGATGCTTGACCTGCAGACATGGTTAAGGCCGAGCATCAGAGGCCGCCTGACAAGCTGCAGCCTCTGGAGGTTCCCATGTGGAAGTGGGAACAGATCACCATGGAATTTATCACCAAGTTGCCGAAGACGGCGAAGGTTTTTGATGCTATATGGGTCGTCGTGGATCGATTGACCAAGAGTGCCCACTTTTGGCCATCCGGGAGAGCTCTTTGGCCGAAAAGTTGGTCGATGTATATGTCCAGGAGATCGTTGCTTGCCATGGGGTTCCGGTTTCCATTGTTTCTGACCGAGATGTTCGGTTCATGTCTCGATTCTGGCAGAAGTTCCACGTGGAACTAGGCACGAGGTTACATGTTAGCACTACGTATCATCCGCAGACTAACGGTCAGAGCGAGCGGACCATCCAGACCCTTGAGGATATGTTGCGGGCCTGCGTCATTGATTTCGGTGGGAGTTAGGATTCCTACCTATCTCTCACGGAGTTCTCCTACAATAACAATTATTACTCCAGCATTGGTTCCCCACCTTATGAGCTCTTGTATGGTCGAATATTTCGTACCCCTGTATGTTGGGGAGAAGTTATACATAGGGTTATGGGAAGGACCGAAGCCGTCCCTCAGACCACATAGCTTATTCAACAGATCAGGCAGAGATTGCAGACAACACACAGTCGACAGAAGAGCTATGCTGACCGGCGCCGATCTAAGTTGGATTTTTAGGTCGGTGATATGGTATTACTGAAGGTCTCACCTTGGAAAAGTGTGATACGGTTCAGGAAGAGGGGGAAGTTGGGTCCCCGGTATATTAGACCTTTTTCGGGTGATTGCCAGGGTTGGCAACGTAGCTTACAGATTGGATTTACCGAGTTAGCTCAGTCAGATCCACAACACTTTCCATGTCTCTCAATTGCGGAAGTGTGTGTTGGACAACGAGGCAGTGGTTTCGTTGGATGATATTCAGGTCGATGAGCGCCTGAATTATATCGAGAAACCGATAGCTATTTTGGAAAGAAAGATGAAGGTCCTGCGCAACAAGGAGATACCTTTGGTAAATGTTTAGTGGCAGCATCGGATAAGCTCCGAGTGGACCTAGGAGCCAGATGCTGAAATGAATGAACATTACCTCGAGTTATTCGCTGCAACAGACTTCGATGACGAAGTCTAAGTCAAGTGGGGGAGAATTGTAACATCCCGAAGATGAGGTACTTCTAATTTTGACCCTATGATTTAATTATATTGCAATTTAGACCCTAAGTAAGAGAAAGAGTGCAAAGAGGGCCCTAGTGGCATTTTCGTAATTTGGGTTTTGAGGGAGTACGCCATGTGTACGTGTGTAGGTTGAGCGTACTAGGGTAGGGGAGATAGAATGATCGACAACCTAAACCGTAAAATTGGGTACTGCTTTCATAGAAAACCTCCGACGTGAAAATGATAATAATAATAATAATAATAATAACAATAATAATAATAAAATAAATAAATAAAAAGAAATTATATCGTGACCAATGCCCTGCGTATGATCCGAAGAAGGTGTAATTTAAAGGAGTATTGTTGGTGTTTGTTTGTTTATTTATTTATTTTTAAGTTAATGAATATGAACACATTTGTTAAATAAATCAACGTAAACGGATTTTTTATCTAAGAGTTTGTAAACAGGACGTTGAATGTTTAATTCTAATTCGGTTACAATACTAAATATCGGTACTAATTTGAAAGCAATGATTAGGTCTTCTGATATTATTTGTTAAAAGCTAACATAAAGTTTAATAATATTTTATAAAAAAGCATATGTATAAAATTTAATAAAAACATAAATAATATTGTAATATTCAAGGGACCATTTATGTCAATTGTTTGGAATACGAATGGAAGTTGGGGGGAAACAACCCGTATTTTACAAAACTCACGATGCGGAGACGTGTAAGTTAGAAAGGTTTTAGTTTTGGAAAGGTTTTATAAAAGACCGTTGGAATTGGGAAGCCAAAAGGTTTAGGTCGGTGTATTGGCGCATAAAATATACGTTCTCCACTCTTCCTTCTTCACTTCACTCATCCCGCTTCGTTCTCCAAACACCGTCGGAGACGACTCATCGCGATCTCTGTAACTCAGCTCACCGGAGACACAAGCACCCCCACCCTTCGTAGGACACTCACAACCATGTCGGTAATCGTAAGAAGTTATCTGTAACTTTTCATTCTTATCATTTTTCTCTTTTCCCTTTTATTTTAGTTGTCTAGGGTTTTCTGTATTTCAGATGTTGTAATCTCCTCTGTATGTATGGATAAGAGAAAAATCGAAGCATAGTTGTGTTTTTTTTTCCAGTAAACTCTGGTTTTCTAATTGCACAAGTTGTATTGCAACTTAAAAACAGAAGGAAACTACGTAGTTTTGTTGATCTTTTCGTTAGGGTTTTCTCCTCTATCTTTTTATTGATTTTTTTCTCTGTGAAATCTGATTTAGCGTGTTTGGTACGCTTGTTTCAGAACGTGTTCTTATGAATAACCAATTTTATCAGATCAGATCACGAATGTCTTACTCAACTCTCTTTTTGTGAATAACCAATTCTGGCTAACAACAACATTGTCATCATGGGTTATTATTAGGGTTACATAATCTGCCACATTTATCAACACATAGATTGACTCCCCATGGTACATAAATGTCTGAAGATTAAGAAACCAAACTGTACTTTGCTAATTACTTAATATTAATATACATGCAAAATGTCTAATAGGGTAATAATGAAAAGCCTTTCCATATTGTTTATAGGCTTCAAATTGCAAATGTTGTATGCATCAGATGTTCGACAACCAAATGTTGAGGTATAAATTTATTTGTTTACTTGTTCACAACATTCATCACATGTTACAATGCTTTCCTATTAAGTAACTTGTTTACTAGCCAATTTATCCATGTAGTATTAGTTGTTTGATTTAAAACTGGTTATTGCTGATGCAGGAAACAATGAGGATTCAGACTTGTACTTAGAGCCATCCATCACCTATATATATGGAAGTAGAAACTATACCCATCTGTAAGTTTTTACACACAATTTTAAGAGTTTAAATGTTATCATTTTAAAATTATTTTTAGTTACTTGCCCCTGCAGCTTCTTCTCAACCTGATTTTGTATCAACATGGTTCCAATTTTTCAATAAAGAATTTGTACGCAATGTATCCTTTGCAGACCATGAAGCCTTTGATAATCTATTACATGTAAGTTTTTAAAGTGCATTGTTGCTCATTCTCCCATTTAAATTACATGGCTTTAATTACAATGAATGTGCAGGCCTTTTGGTTGTTTTTTTCAAATGACATTGATCCTATCAATAAGTTTGTGGATCTTTTTAACATGAACCAGTTACCCCTGCTTCTGATCATGAACCAAATCCATGGGAATTGAATGTTAGTGCATTTCATGTGATACAATCTGTTTCCATCTTTTCATAAAGTGAAACTTGAATGACATGGATTTTTTGATAGATGTCTAATGCTTCTTCTGATCAGCATCTTGGCTTTTTGCTCAGCAAAGAGAATGTGGGTGAGGTTCTTTCTGAAAAAAAAAACAATTTTATATAATAGAATAACTATCCATAAATATAAACTTTTTAACCTTTCTCAATTGCATCAGTTGAAGGATATTATTCCTAACATGACCTGTTCTAAATCAGCATGTTGTTTTTCTTTCCTACCTTTTCTATTTTAATCCTAAGAGCAACTTAGGGCGTGTGTGGTTCATGGGTTCCATAGAAATCTGAAGGAATTGGAATGGAAGATTCCTTAAGTTACACACTTGGTTGACAAAATGGATGGAATTGGATTCCATTAAACTCCACCAAAATCTGTATTCAATGGATTTATCATTCCTAGGGAAGAATTGGAATTCCTTTATTTATTTCTTCATTAAAAAGACTAAATTTGTCCTTACAACCAAATGTTGTTTTTTGAATCTTACACCTTCTTCTTTATTCTCACCCCTAATTTATCCTAATATACAACTCTATAAATGCAGATATTTATAATCAATTGTTATATTATTAATTAGTTACCTATCTTCATTTTTAATGGCATATTACTTTTCTTGTAATGTTTATGAAATTAGAGTATGTTTGATGTTTATATAATTAGTGTTTGCTAGCTGTCTTATGAGTAAATACTTTTCTAGTAAATTTCTATTATTTTATAAAAAAAGTCACTAAAGGGTGTTTTGGTCATTTAACATAATTTTCACTTGAATTCTTTTGAATAATTTTCAAACCAAACACAAAACAACACATGAAATGAATCGAAATCCTTTCCATTTTCTTTCAACTATACACATGACATATTCCAATTTGTTTGACAAATTCCATTCATTTTTAAAGTATTTTGCGAACCACAAGTTACCTTACATTACTCTGAGATTAATTGCTATTCTTAATTCCAATTCATTACTCTGCAACAAGAAAAGGCTTTTGAAACCAATTACAAAACTTGGGGTTTAGAAAAGGAAAAGAAGATGCCCCCAAGAATCAAAGTGTTAACATGTATGTTTTTACCCTTAACACTATAAAACACTTCATGCTTTTTATGTTCTTATTTAGTTTTTCTGTTAATGTTTAAAGGTACACTTGAGGCACACTATTAGTTCCATTGAATCTCAAATACCTTGCTTTATCAAATTACCGCCTTCAATCCACTGATTACAATCTGACAAAGCATGGAAATGATATACATGTGTACAGGTAGCTATAGCTATGAGTCTATGACCCTGTTTGTGTATTTCCAGAAATACCCTTCTGTTCCTAAAACTTTTGTTTATTTATTATGCTCAGGAAATGATGTGCTTATTTCTTTAAAAAATGTTAAATATTGCATGGACAATGCCTTCAGCGCTTATTTAGTATGCCTGGTAATTCTTTACAATTTATATTTGTTATTTAGTCAAACAAATTATTTATTTTAGAAATTGTACTTTCTTTTAGCGAATTGAGACATCAGGGAAGGGAAATGCCACATGGTGTGGTCAATGCTCCTTCATTTCAAGGGTATTTCAAGAAAAACTTCAATTTTTGTGAAAACACATCATATACCAAGTGCAAGTGTGTTGGTCAATGCTTTGTGTATGGTATGATAGATTTTTTTTTTTTATCAACTATAGATTTCATGTTCATATCTACACTCTTAATGTAAACCCTCTGGCCTCTACATTTCGTCACCATAGATACTGATTTTGTTGTTCACTGAACGACACTGTACCCTTGTTCACTGAAATTGTATATATTTGGAAAAAAAACACATCACTAATTTGCTTCCACTTTAGGTATGCATCTGAAACCTTCCGAGATTACAAGTAGATGGAGTTATTGGAGAAGAGTATGTTGAGTAGTTTATTATTTTTTAAGGCGGATTGGATACAAAACAAATACTTTATAATTTATTTATCTGCATTTTTTTTAAAGATACAAATGGATGACTTATGCCAAGGCATGTATGTCACTTGTATACTAATTTATCCTTGTTGATTTGGTACCTTTCCAAAGAAAATTAAGTTCATGACAAAACTGCTCTTTCTTTTTGGCTTACTTACTATATTTTTATTTGTGTAGGTCAACAACTTGATATTGTTGGATGACATGGCAGAATTGAGCTCAGCCTACTGTGTTCCACAACTATATAACAGAGTATATGATGGATGGGGTATAAATGATTATTTTATGTATCTTTCAATCAGCAAGGCATATTGATGCGCATTTACATGTGTGGTTGTTATTGTAGTGTTATGAATGCAGTGAAGAGGCAAGCATTATTTAATGAGGAGGCAAAAAGCAGTTTTTTAAAGGAAAAAATTTTACAAAACTTCTTTCAGCACAAGGGAGGGAGGGTGCCTTGTAGTTTTCGTTCCATACTTTAAAGAATATATAATCTGTCCAATATTATATATGGGGGAGATTAGTATATAACAAAATAAAAGACAACTTACTTTCATTTATGATTTCAGGTGCATCACCCTCCCCTTGTCTCCTGATGTCATGGATTTACTTAAGGTGTAAGTTATTTTTAGGGCTAAATGCAATATATAACAACTTGCTTTCATTCATTTGTGTTTTATTTCAGCATCCTAGTTTCATTTCTTTCTATTACAGTATTCTACTTTCAGCTTTTTCATATGAAGACACTGTACTTTGAAAAATATACCCAATCATATAGCATACTATTTTTAGCTATATTATTATTAGGACATTATGCTTTTATAGATGTTTATAGCATTGTACTTTCATCTTTCTTTTTTTATTAGGGCATTCTGCTCTGAAAATTATACCCAATTATATCATTTTCTTATTGTGACATTTTAGTATCGTCCTTCCATTTCTTTCTGTTGTTGCACGATTGTAATTTCAACTTTTTATTATTATTATTATTAGAAAGGCGTTGCATTATGAAAGGTCTATGCATTTATAGCGTTGTACTTGTAATATTTCTTGTTAGGACATCATACTTTCAATAATCTATCCAATCATAGCAATGAAAATTGCTTTGCTTTGTGTTTTGATTGCATTGGTATAATTGGGTGGATTTTTATAAGTGCAATGCTATATATAATAGAAATAAATGAAAGTAGGATGCTACAATACACAAATCAATGGAAGTGAACATTTTTATTTCTTGCATTTAAACAAATATTGATGCATATATAGTATTCATGTTTCAGAAGTAAAGTTTGTGGATGTCCCTGAGATATTAATAGTTACTTAAGTAAATCTTGAAAGATACCATTATTATTGAAGAAAGAAATTGCAATTAATGTTTTTTCTCGTTTCTCTTTCACTGATTTGCAATTTTGCTAGCAAAATAACTCTGGTCAAAATCTTGGATTAATCATTTGGTCCGAATGTGTTAGGTTTAACATATTGTAGTTGTAGTTGGTTTGTTTATGAGGTTAAATCATGTATTAACATTTTTACTCCATTCTAATCTTATTGTAATATTGGCTGGCTAACAACAACATTGTCATCACGGGTTATTATTAAGGTCACATAATCTGCCTGCCACACCTAATTAACACATAGATTGATTCCCCATGTTATATAAATTTCTGAAGATTGTAAGTAAAGCTTTATTTATGTATTAAAATTTTAATTTGTGGTTGTTTGATAGGAAAATTTGGAGAAAAAGCTAAATGACCATATACGATGCCAAGGTAAATAACCAAACCCTACTTTACTGAATACTTAATATTAATATACATGCAAAATGCCTAATACGGTAATAATAAAAAATCCTTTCCATATATATATATATATATATATAATATATATATATATATATATATATATATATGGAAAGGACTTTTTATTATTACCGTATTAGGCATTTTGCATGTATATTAATATTAAGTATTCAGTAAAGTAGGGTTTGGTTATTTACCTTGGCATCGTATATGGTCATTTAGCTTTTTCTCCAAATTTTCCTATCAAACAACCACAAATTAAAATTTTAATACATAAATAAAGCTTTACTTACATAATCTAACCTATGAGGACATTGTAATTTTATTATCTTTCGTATTAAGTCACTATACTTTGAAAAACTAAACATGTTTGGTTTTGGATACCAATTAGAGCATTATAACTTCAAAATTTTTATTATTAAGATAGTTTACTATCAAAATTTGACCAATTGCAACATTATACTCCAAATCGTAACATTGTGTTTTCTCAATTCACCCTTTCAAGACACTATAGATTTAATACATTCTACTTTAGAATCTAAACTTGTTTAACCATGGTTACCAATTATAACATTATACTTAATTTTTATTTTATTTTTCATATTAAGACATCATAGGTATTTATTAGCACTAAGTCTATTATTGGAACCAAATCAAGTTCCACAATTGAGTATTATTTGGATTACAAAACATTTTATTTCTGTCTTAATCTTTCAAGTTTCCCCTAAAAGCCGTGTAACGTTGTGGCATGAAGAATCGAATCAAGTTTCACAATCAACACGACCCCCCTTGCAAGCTATGCACTAATCAAGGCTATCTCTCATTAAGGCATAAGAATCAAATTTTTTTATACTCATATCAGATGCGAAGAATATACAAAATATTATATAATATTATAATGTATGTATACTATACTATACTATACTATGTATATTTTGTATTTTGCCAGCCTTATTTGATTTTCTGATTTGAAGCAGCTCGAGTGCAACTTTGAGAAATGATTGATCGAACGCCTTCATGAGATACTGTCTCTATAAATTGAAGCTTCATTGATTTAAATTTAGTCATGTAATGTTTTCTGTGTTTATTTTGAGATTAAAAATATTAATTCTTTTTTGAATAATGGCAACAAGAGAGACAGAGATGATGCAGCAAGTTTCTTTACCAATGATGATGGATATCACCAAATTGGTTATGATAACAACAAGCCTCAAAACTTATGTTAAATTTTTAAGGGAGATTGTGGGAAATAACAAGATACACTATTAGTTCCAATGGATATCAAATAACTAATAAGGGTGTTGTTATCATTGAATCTCAAATAAGGGTATTTATGTCTTCAAGTCATGAAATTATGAACTTGGTTTATCAAATTGCCACCTTCTATCCACTGATTACATGCTGACAAAGCATGGAAGTGATATGCAGGTAGCTATGAGTCTATGACCCTGTTTGTGTATTTCCAGAAGTACCCCTCATTTCCTAAAATTTGTGCTTATTTATTACTTCAGGAAATGGTGTGGTCTTTGGTAGATTGAAACATTAAAAACAAGTGGTCAATATAAAGAGGTAATAATCAATTCTCTTATGTGAATAAAAATATTATATACGAGAGATTTGTTAAAAAAACTTCATTTTTTTGCAGGAACCTCTTCATTCGGCTATGATGCTTGAACAAGCATTTTATTATTTACATTAAGTATGGATTTCATTTTTAAAATCAAACATATTAAGACATTGTTTTAATTTCTTTTTGCTAGTAAGACGAGCTAATTCTAATTTCTTTACCGTTAAGATTTTTTTTTGAAAATCTAGCTACGTATAATATTATACTTTCAAAATCCAACCTATTAAGAAGTTGTATATATTTTTCCTGATAATCTGAAGGCTAAACTTGATTAGCATTATACCTTCACTTATTTTCTATTAAGATTGTACTTTCAGTTTTCACATGATACTATTCCTTATGACATCATACCTTCAAAATCCAACATATTAACCCACACTTAACACAATGTACTTTTTTTTTCTTTCTATAATGACTTTTTTATTTTGAATGTTAACCTTTAAAGATATTATACTTCTAAAATCTAAATTTGTTTTATTTTGGTTACCAACTATAGCATTATACTTCCTTTGTCATAAATAATAGATGTGAATATCTTATAAACGCCATAGCTCAAATCTGTGGATGTCTGAGAAAGGTTAGCCTTGTCTTTTGACTCTTTGTATGCATACACATGTAATCTACGTTGGAACTGTGGATGTTGATTTTTGCAGACAAAAATTTGTTTACCATTTTTTAAAGTTTTCAGTGGCAGCGTGTTATTGTTGTTTTATCATCTGGTATGTTGTTACATTCTTTTGTGCTATAACTTGATCTTGTTTATTTGTTATTAACATCTCTGAGGTTTTCA